GTCTTCTGAGAGCTCTTTTGTGCAAGGCATCATTCACATCAGGCAATGCTTCTTGTGAAAAGCAAACCCAGAACTGGTGTGTGTTTTTTATAGGGCAGGGCAGCTGTAACCAACACCTCCAATCTCATCTCATTGATTGGACTCCAGTTGGCTGACATCTCACTCCAATTAGCTCTTGGAGATGTCATTAGTCTAGGGGTTCACATACTTTTCCCACCTGCACTGTGAATGTTTACATGGTGTGTTCAATAAAAACATGGCAACATTTCATTCTTTGTGTGTTATTAGTTTAAGCAGACTGTGATTGTGTATTGTTGTGACTTAGATGATGATCAGATCACATTTTATGACCAATTTGTTCAGAAATCCATATCATTCCAAAGGGTTCACATACTTTTTCTTGCAACTGTATATGTATTTATATTAATATTAAAATACACTTTGTATGACGCTACATATATAAAAAATGTATATATATTATATATATATAATAGACATACATCTATTATATATATAAAAATACATTTATTTTAATTTTACACGTTTAATTCTTTTTTTTTTACTTTCCCACCAGCAGGGGGACTGTCTGACATTTCAGACAGTCCCCCTGCTGGCAGATCCACAGCCAGCTATAGGGGGCCATGTGATCGCTATTTGAGAGCGATCACATGGGCCCCGGGGGCCTCATTTGCCGGGCAGCCCTGCAGAAGAGGATCGCGGCGGAAGTAAGTCCACTGGACCCACAAGGGCTGCAAGCCGTTACGGTGTTCTATGCCGCCGCAACAGCTTTAAAGCCCTTTTAATGCAGGACGGCATAGAATGCCGTAACGGCGTTAAGGGGCTAAGCACTTCACCTGGTCCTTGTTTAGCACCTATATAGTTTGGTTTCTCCCCTCACTCCTTGCCAGATCATTGTCTCTTGTCTCCTGGCTCCTTGATCCTGCATACTGTTCCTTTGTCCTGTGTCCTGCACCTCCTGGTCTTCGTCCTGTGTCCTTCTGATCCTGCGTTCCTGTGTCCTCCTGGTCCTTCGTTCCTGTGCCCTCCAATCCTGTGTTCTGGTTCCGTGATCTCTGCCTTATCACCAGTGATCCTGACCCAGCAGCCTTGTTCATTTATTCTGCTTCTGACCTTGATTCCGGGTGTCAATATATTAGTCTTGTGACTCTGGATTTGTGCTCTACCTACTACTCGTGGTAACTGCACACTCCTGCCCTTATACCAAAGGACTATTTCAGTATACGTTGCCTGCACTATGCATGCTTATCTTGATTTATTGTATATATTTTGTGGCATTGTGTATATATATTGTTTTGTTTTGTCTTTTGGTTCTCTGTAATATATATATATATCTTGATTTAACCTATTCATTTGTATCTTGGCATTTATTTCTTTGCTGTATTGGTTCCCACATTTAAAGGGACAGTGTTGTTTCAGGGCAGCACCCCTCCATGTCATTACAAACTTTCTTTGTAAGTTTTATCCTGTAATCCATAAACCAGTTTAGTAGCCCTTCTCTGAACCTTCTCTAAAGTATCAATATCCTTCTGAAGATACGGTCTCCAGTACTGCGTACAATACTCCAAGTGAGGTCTCACCAGTGTTCTGTACAATGGCATGAGCACTTCCATCTTTCTACTGCTAATAACTTTCTCTATTCAACCAATCATTATGCTAGCATTTACTGCTTCTCTATTACATTGTCTGCCTACCTTTAAACCATCTGAAATAATTACCCCTAAATCCCTTTCCTCAAATGTTGAGGTTAGGACTCTATCAAATATCCTATACTCTGCCCTTGGGGGTTTTATATCCAAGATGCATTATCTTTCACTTATCCACATTAAATGTCAGCTGCCACAACTCTGACCATTTTTCTAAATCATTTGCCATTTGGCTTATCCCTCCTGGAACATCAACCCTGTTACATATCTTAGTATCATCAGCAAAAAAGACATACCTTACCATCAAGACCTTCTGCGATATCACTAATAAAAATATTAAAGAGAATGGGTCCAAGTACAGATCCCTGAGGTACCCCACTGGTGACAAGCCCAAGCTTCGAATATACTCCATTGACTACAACCCTCTGTTGCCTGTCACTCAGCCACTGCCTTACCCATTCAACAATATTGGAATCCAAACTTGAAGATTGCAGTTTATTGATAAGCCTTCTATGTGCAACAGTGTCAAAAGCCTTACTGAAATCTAGGTAAGCAATGTCTACTGCACTATCCTGATCTATTATTTTAGTTACCCAATCAAAAAAATCAATAAGATTAGTTTGGCATGATCTCCCTGAAGTAAACCCATGTTGACTCTAATCTTGAAATCCATGTTATTTTAGATGTTCAACAATCCTATCCATTAGCATGGTTTCCGTTACTTTCCCCACTACTGGAGTAAGGCTTACTGACCTATAGTTGCCCAGCACCTCCCTACTACCTTTCTTGTGAATGGGCACAACATTCGCTAACTTCCAATCTTCTGGGACTACTCCTGTTAACAATGATTGGTTAAATAAACCTGTTTATGGTTTTGCTAGTACACCACTAAGTTATTTTAATAACTTTGGGTGTGTTCCATCAGGTCCCATTGACTTATTTGTCTTTACTTTTGACAGTTGAAATAGAACCTCTTCCTCTGTAAACTCACATGTAACAAATGACTAAGTTGTCCTTTTTCCTAACTGAGGCCCCTTTCCTTCATTTTCATGTGTAAATACAGAGCAAAAATATTCATTGAGGCAGTCAGCTAGACCTTTTTCCTCTTCTACATACCTTCCTTCTTTTGTTTTTAATCTAACTAATGCTTGTTTTACTTTTCTTTTCTCATTTATGTATCTAAAAAAAGTTTTGTCCCCCTTTTTTACTGACAGTGCTATTTTCTCTTCTGTGTGTGATTTGGAAGCTCGTATAACTTACTTAGCCTCTTTCTGCCTAATCTTATAGATCATTTTGTCTTCCTCACTCTGTTTTTTTTTTTTTATAATTACTAAATGCCAATTTTTCGTTTTTAACTATTTTGGCCACATCTGTGGAGTACCACAGTGGTTTCTTGAATTTTTTGCTTTTACTGACAAGCCTAATGCAAGTTTCTGTTGCCTGCAGTAGTGCAACTTTTAAATAATCCCATTTCTCTTGGACTCCATTTAAATTGCTCCAGTCCGATAATGACTCCTCTACACATATTCTAATTTTAGAAAAGTCTGTTTTTCTAAAGTCTAAAACTTTTGTTTTTGTGTGGTGTGACTCAGTCACTGTTCTTATATTAAACCACACTGACTGATGATCATTGGATCCTAAACTTTAACCTACAGTAATATCTGATACCAAATCTCCATTTGTTAACACTAAATCTAGTATGGCCTCTTTACAAGTTGGCTCCTCAATTACTTGTTTTAGAGACAATCCCAGAAGGGAGTTTAGAATGTGTGTGCTCCTGGCAGAGGCAGCTATTTTTGTTTTCCAATTCACATCAGGAAGATTAAAGTCACCCATGATGTGAACTTCCCCCTTCATTATCATTTTAGCTATTTCCTCAACTAATAGCTTATCTAACTCTTCTATTTGTCCTGGTGGCCTATAAATCACACCTACACAAGTTACTGTGTGATTACCAAATTCTAACGTAACCCAAACAGACTCTATGTTCGCCTCATTAACTTTTATTAGGCTAGATTTTATCCTTCACATACAGGACCACCCTTCCCCCTTTCTTGCCTTCCCTATTTTTTCTATATAAAAAGTAACCTGGTATTGCTATGTCCCAGTCATTTTTCTCATTATACCATGTCTCGGTAACTGCGACTAAATCTGCACTATCAGTTTCCATTATTGCTACAAGTTAATTGATCTTATTCCCTAAACTGCAAGCATTTGTAGACATGACTCTAAGCATATAATTTTAACACACTTGCTACAGGCACCTTCTGTCCTTGTTTTGGGGGACAATAGGATTGATGTTTTATCACCCTTTTGTTCCCCCCCTCCTTCTCCCCTCTTAGATTAAATACATTTCCCACTCTTATTGGGATTTTTCTACATTATTGAAGTTTAGAATTCAGGCCCTTTTTTCTGTGGGTAAAATGAGTCAATCTGTTCTGGACTCTTGCTTGAAAACGGAGTCATGCTACCTACAGCAATCCACAGCAGTTTTATTATTATTTTTTTTTTTTAATAATGTCTATGGATAATTGGTTGGATCATTCACCTTTGTCAGTCCATAGAATGCAGCAATGATTTAACTTAACCTGAGTCTCAGAACTTGTTACTTTAGTTGCGGAATACCCACAGTAATTATTTATGTGATTTGTTTTGAGCTTTTCAATGCACAGCAATTTATTTTTGGCATTCATCCTTGTCATTCATTAGTTTGTCACCCGAGCTTTAAATAATCTTAATACTAAACACCCTATGTAAGCTAACTCTGATGAACCCTATTAGACATTGAACCCACCTTTTACCCTAACCATGTCCAACATTTGACTTGATTTCATACTTTTGGTAAGCTTTTTAAATTATTTCATATTTTTGGATACATTTTTACAATTATTTTTTCAAAATATTGCATGTATTTACACAGCTGTATACACTCTCTGTACTCACAAATTCAAACACAATACAGATTACAAGCTGCAATATACACATGCGTGTATGTTTTAGTCAGCAATGTCCAGTTAAAGTGGGTCTGTCAATTTTTTATTTATTAAAGCAAAATAGTCTATATGCTCTCAGTATAATGTCTAAACATGTAGGCTGCAGTAAATCTATCTAGGATTCCCAAATCTTGTGTACCAGACAACCCAAAAAAAGAAAATCATATAATGAATGCAAATATACATACCTGAACTCTTCCACATAAAAAATAAATATATAATAGTGCAATATGTTTTAACAATGAGCAAATCCAGCACAAATAGATAAGTATTAGGTATTAACTTTATTCAAAAGAAATACTACAATATAAAAACAGTAAAATATAATGTATAAAAAACAATAATCCCATTTGGCAGCAGCCAGGTGAAAACCTGGTACCCAAGCGGTGACTCTTGCAATGGTAAAGGTAATATATCCCCTCAAGATTGGTGAACTGTGCATGCATGTGATATGACATGCATGCCCTCGAATGGAGGTGAGGTACATAGAGGAATTTGCATGATGATGGCACCACGGATGAAGCCCGAGTGACAGCATATTAAGAAATGGAAGTGGTTACAGTAGCAGGGCATTAGATGACTTTGGGGGGCTTAGGATACCATAACAGAGGCTGGAGCAAAGAGGAAATAAGTGACAGAGCTGCTTAAATACTTTTTTCTTTCCTTCTTTCTTTCTTTATAAAAATTTGTCTTACGAGAAAGTGAGATATAGATAATTTGGAAATAAATACTCTTTACCTCTGACTTGTGAGTAGGACATCTTGGCAAATTTTGGAACTAATATTGTATCCTAGCGGTTATTTTGGCTGACTGACAATCTTTTAAATACATGATTTAACCATAATCACATTTTAATTGAATATCCTTTTTTTACTCTTTGCCTTCCAGTATTGATACAACATAATGAACTATTCCAGGCATAGGCAACCTTCGGCATTCCAGATGTTTTGGAATACACCTCCCATGATGCTTTACCAGCATTATGGATGTAAGAGCATTATGGGGGATGTAGTCCACAACATCTGGAGTGCCGAAGGTTGCCTATCCCTAAACTATACAATAGTAATTTTATAGTTCACCATTAAAGCTGGTGTATATTGGTGTATATATTATAGAGATTTGGTCTTCAGGTTAGCGAGTGTGTCAGGTGTCCCACCATTCACTTTAGGGAGATTTATGGCACTCTTTTTAATTAAAGACTTTTGTAGAGAAGGTTTAAGAGGAAAGAAAGGGCTAGTAAACTATCAGGGATATCAGTCTAGCCTATTAGAGTAATTTCGCCACACAGTGTTCATTATTTCTTGTGATTTACAGTTTATTTAAAGATAATTGATGGGATAACTTCCTCTCTCCTTTATGAAGGGAATTGTTACTTTATTTTCAGGGAGAGAGGCTGAGCGCTGGCTCATGTATGTATTCAATAAGCCATTGACATCCCCTCAGTAAGACAATCTGAGTCACACTTTTTGTAGATCCAAATGTTTGGAATAGTTTTCTAACACAATGTTAGAATGAAAACAATGTACAGATGATTTTCAAAGTTTTATTCAATTGCATAATTTTCAGAAAAGTGATGTTATCTTTTGAAAGGTGCACATCAGAAAATCATTTACCACATCAGAGTTCCTTAAACATTTTGGCATCTAAATATAGTATTAAATCAGTCAGATTTCTCTAAATGCTTGAGCATGAATGCCGCTTCGTTATGACGATTGTTCACTTGGTATGGACCATCATAGAAATTGCACGCAAAGAATGTATAATCAAATGGTTTCTTCAGGTGTACCAACTCTTCTGCTAAAACCTTTGCCTGATTAAAACAGTCTTTGAGAGTGGAATGACCATCAAAAGACCTGGAAATCAGTAATAGCCATTTAGTTAAAGATGAGACCATTTAAAGTTGAAGAAAAATAACTAATGGAGGATACACTGATTATGTAAGTTACAAAGTGGTATTAAATTGTACTAAGTACCATGTGAAGACAGTCACTTACCGAATATACCATGTTAAGGCAGGATAACCGTAAACATAAATACTGGAGTCTAATGGTTCAGGAGATTCAAATTCTGATGGAAGGAAAAATAATGCAAGGGGCTGTTTTTTTGTTTTTTCTCTTGCTGGAACAAATATTGAAAAAGGGACTGTCATATCCATTTTTGTACCTTTAAGATAAACATAAGAAATAGAACTTAAGATTTTTTTTTTTTCTTTTACAATCACTATTTATGGAATAAAGGATTAAAAAAACATATTTAGGAACAAGGTAAAAAAACAAGGATCCAGCTTTTGTCATCTAAACATAAATATAAAGAGAAAACAGCACATACCATTATGCAGTTATGCACCTGTACTACCAGTTGTAACCATACTAAAACATGACCTGAATTCAACCATGCATAGAAAAATGAGTGATTGTGACAGCAGTATCTAAAAGGTAATGAGTATTCACTCACTGTTACCAAAGAATTAACACAATATTTACCCTAGCAGTACGAATGCAACACAGTGAGTACAAAAGATAAATTCAGATACAAGTGGCTGAGGAAGAGCTGTGTCCCAAACTGTTTGTACCCCTATGACAGTGATGGCAAACCTTTTTGAGCCCAAGTGCCCATGTGCCCAAACCGCAACTTTCTTTTCCTCAAAGTGCCAACACGGCAATTAAACCTGAATACGCTTTGCTCGATGGAGCTGGGAGAAGTGGTGACCCCAAACACACATAGTGATTATTCTAATAAACTGTGATCGCTCATATATGACCCACCATGAAGTTTTATACCCACAATGTCAAGGGACTGAACGTTCCTGTGAAACGACACTTGTTGGGTCAGGAGCTTCGAGCAACCAGCCCAGATGTGGTGTGCTTACAGGAAACCCACTATAGAACAAAGGATTACACCCCTATGCTGACTAACGACTACCCCACTCAGTTTCACGCCACCTCCCCATCCAAATCCAAGGGCGCATCTATACTCATCAGTAAGAAGGTTACATTCCACATCCTCACGCAAAAGTTAGACACAAATGGGAAATACGCTGTAGTTGTGGGGATTATAAACGACATCACATACACCATTGCAAACATTTATGCCCCCAGCTCAAATCAAAGGAATTTCCTTCACAAGATTTTACAGACACTGACAAAACTGCAACAAGGGATAACAATAATATGTGGGGACCTAAACCATGTCCTAGACCCAACATTAGACACCACACTTTTGCGTCTCCGGGACAGGTTCAGGCCCCTCAAACGCCAAAGCAGAGCGTTACAGACACTATTTTCCACGTACCACTATTATGATGCCTGGAGAATCTCCTGCGGACGGAAAGGTCTTACACGTTTTACTCGCCCATTCACAATTCCTATTCTAGGCTAGATACTAGATCCTTTTGAAGGGATCGAATCTAAACTAACTTGTTAGGTGCGATATCGACCACATCACATGGTCAGACCATGCCCCTGTCACCCTCGAAGTTAAAGACCTATGTGATTTCAAAAAACCGCAGCCCTTGGAGAATCAACGACTCACTCCTACAAAATCCGGCCTTCACAGGCCAAGTAGAAACGGCCTTCAAACATTACTTTGCAGAGAACTCCACTCCTGGTATGTCCCCAACCACGATATGGCAGGCGCACAAATTGGTTGCTCATACAACGAGCAGCCACATTGCGTAAAACCTCCCAAGCCCAATTGCAGAGGTGGCAGACAGAGCTGTACGCCTTAAATGTGCAAAACCAAATGTCACCTTTGGCCTCTCCAAGAGACCGCATACTAGCCCTAAACAGAAACATGCATCAGCAGGCCTTACAATCAACAGGGTTTCAGCTTAAACGCCTGAAAGCTACCTACTACGCACAAGGTAATAAAGCAAGCAAAATGCTCGCAAACAGATTGAAATCACGCCAAGCATCCCAGAAAATTGCATACCTAATGACAAAAACCGGCACTAAGGCCTACACGCCACAGGATATTAGCAACGAGTTTGCGCGGTACTATGCCGACTTATATAATCTTAAACATGATGGGCAAGTACACCAACCCCAAAGTTCAGACATTAATAAATACGTGGAGGGCCTTCACCTGCCAGAATTGACCCCTACACAATAGACCGAACTTACCCTGCCTCTGGGCAAATCGCCTGGACCTGATGGTCTGGACAAGCTATAAAAAATTTAGCAGCACATTAGCTCCACACCTAGTACACACATTCCAAGACGCAATTGCCCACAAATCCCTATCCAAAGACGTGCTATTGGCGCACATTGTTACACTGCCCAAACAAGGCAAATCGCCCACACTCCCCCAGAATTTCAGACCTATATCACTATTGAACACGGACGCCAAAATCTTCGCAAAATTGCATGCTACCCGATTAAGCAACATCCTCCCCAACATTATTCACAACGACCAAGTGAGATTCGTGGCGGGCAGACAGGGATCGGAAAATACGAGAAAAGTACTGAACATAATGCATGGCTATAAGACGACACGGAAGGGTGGGTTACTGATATCATTAGACACGGAAAAGGCCTTAGACCGCCTACATTGGAGTTTTCTAGAGGCAATATTGCTCATATTTGTAATACCTGAAAGATTCCTGTCGGCGGTGAGGGCCCTCTATAGCCATCCTACTGCTCATGTGCTCAACGCAGGGTTCCTGTCTGACCCCTTTTTGATCACAAACGGGACGAGGCAGGGGTGCCCACTTTCCCTCTTGCTCTACGTCTTGGCGTTACAACCCCTGGTCATACCTCTGTACATGGAACCACTGTTGGCCAAAAGGATACAAAGCAAACCTGTCCGCAGATGATATCCTGCTCGCTCTTACGCAGCCACAGATTTCCCTCCCAAATCTCCTGGCAGTAGTCACAGACTATGGGACCCATTCCTACTATAAGCTCAATGTGGCCAAGACTCAAGCCCTAGGAATAGGGATCCCAGACCAAATACTAAACACACTACGGGCATCATTCTCCTTTGATTGGAGATCTGATTACATTACCTTCTTAGGACTTAACCTCACAAAAAAACCTGACCGACCTACTGAAATACAACCATGAGAAACTTTTAAGGGACATAACCGAAACACTAATGGGATGGGAATCTATATTCCTAAACTGGCTTGGCAGGATAGCTGCAGTAAAAATGTCCATCCTCCCTAAACTTCAATACCTGCTCAGAACGCTACAAATATCTATCCCCAAAACCTATTTAGAAAAACTTCAGGCCATATTAACCCAATTTATATGGGAAAACCGTAAGATCCGCGTCTCCTCGAAACTTCTGTATAAACCCCTAGACCATGGCGGACTTGGACTGCTAAAAATTAAAGAGTATTACAGGGCTGTACTGCTAGCTTCAGTTATAGCCTCCCATGCAGCGACCCTCCCCCTGCAATGGATTGAAATTGAGTCGCATTGGTCTTGCCCCAAGGGCATGCACCTTCTCTTCTGGATACCTAAACATAAACGCCCGAACATGCCAAAAATGTTGCGTACCACTGACCTGCTCCTCCATACATGGGACAGACTAAAACAAAACATGGGCGAGAAACATATGTAACTCCAGGCTGCCCCCATATCTTGCGTGCATGCTGTTAACCCATCCTTTGACTACAGGCCATGGCAGAAAGGAGGCTGCGCCTCCATAGGCCAACTGTTTGGAGACAATGGAATACTGCCATTCCCAGACCTCCAACATAAATTCAAACTACCGACGAGGGCGTTGCTCTCATACCTCCAACTAAAAGTGCTCCTCACACACAACCGCCCATTTTCACACTCGCCGACCATGGCCTTTTTTGAAAAAGCATTCCTAGCCCCTATCACGCCAAACAAATTACTAGCCTCTATATACCGAGTACTGACAATCCCGGCAGCACGCAGCTACGAAAAATTTATGCGCAACTGGCACAGCGACTTAAACCAAACATTTGACATTACAGGCTGGAAAAAAGCAATGTTAGCTCACAAGGGAAAGACAAGTTGTGCGTCACACCTAGAACTGATGAGAAAAATCCAGTATTGCTGGTATATGGTACCGGACAGACGAGCGCGAATCTACCCGAACACTACCAGCTCCTGCTGGAGGTGTTTACAGGAAAAAGGGGAAGATGTACCACATTTGGTGGACTTGTCCCAAGATCGAGGGATATTGGCGTATGGTGGGAGACGTATTATCAGATGCATTGGGGACAGGCATCACACTCACACCTGATTTATGCCTCCTATTCATGCCACTGGAAAACATTTCAAAACTGGCCTCTACCCTACTTTTCCACGTCCTCATTGCTGCAAATTTGCTGATAGCCAGAGCATGGAAATCTTCAGAAATACCGGGTTGTACTGCCCTTACAGCGCAGATAACCCTGAACCTGGAGTATGAGTCAATGGCCCATAAGCATATTAACCCCAAAAAACATATACAGGGAGCGGGAATCATGTGGGACACCTACATTAAAACTCAAACACACACGGAACATACCCACACCCCATGCGCACATGACCAAAGGGGAGAGGCGGGGGAAGACGTAACAACACGGGAAGCTACTTGTTACATGACAAATTAAACATGACGCAAAACCTCTGGTACGGAGGTTCACCACCGGGGACAACGAGGAAGGCGGGATGGAAGGCGGGATGGGGTGATAGATGAGTGGCGGGGACGGAAATCTGGGCTGGACTCGGGGGTCTCAGCCCAAGGTTCACAATAGGCAACTCAGCACACTCAGCAATGGCAATCAACAAAGACACTGGGCACTCTGGGACTTCCGAACACGGAGGCTTCACCCTAAATGATGGGACCACCCTGATGACAGGGTACACAGACACAGGTATACATACACACTGACTCACAAATACAGACACACATAGGTGCACATACACAAACAGGTACACATACACACAGATACACATAAACACTTACACACTGAAAAACAGGTACACATACACAGACACACAAGTACACAGACACAGGTATACATACACGCTGACACAAATACACAGAGGTACACATACACACTGACAGACAAGTGCACATATACACTGACAAACAGGTACACATACACAGACAGACAGGTACACAGACACATGAATACATACACGCTGACACAAATATAAATGCACAGACACACTGTTACACATACACAGAGAAGTGGTTGAGAAGGACAATAAATACCTCTAGGACAAATTCCCTTAGGTGTGGTGTGGAGTTCTCCAACTCGAGGAGGCTTTGCAGCCATAAGTTACAAAGACAACCCCTATTGTCCAGAACAGCCAGATGTAGGGCCATGACTTGCATTTATTCCTTTTGATATGTCAGGGTATTCATCTGAGCTACCAACAGGTTGTCACTTGTCACTGTCCCCCTCCAGCTGGCCAACAGGATCAGTGAGGCCCTGTAAGTCCTCATTTAGAAGATGCAGATCCACCAGGATCGAGGCCTGTAGTGTGTAATTTGCCTTTTGCAGGTCCTCTATGGTCGACAAGGCAGGTGGTTGGACCGGGTCGTGGTCCGATATTGGAGAGCTGGGAGGCAGGGTCCGGCATGGAGGTGAGGAAACCTCTCAAGAATGGAGTAAGCAGACCCTTTTTGGGGCCTTGGCTCTTCAAGGAGCCAGTAGGTTTATGTGTCTTCTCCATGTCATTGGTGAAGCAGGGGAAATTATTGAACGTAGCACAAGGTTGTGCAGAAGCTCAAACCTATGCTGCCATCTTCATTGGCATTGCAGTCACACCCTGCAGATCACTTTAATGCTCTAGTCCTTTTTCTATGACCACCTGCTTGATTTCTGCACATCACATATCAAATTACAACCTTTAATCCGAAACACTGGAACACAACCTCCATTTGTGATGCGAGACATTGGTTTAATCAACATATGTTGCTCACATTTCCTCAGCAACAGTCACTATATGGCATTCCTGATAATACATACTTCTTATATTTACAGATATTCTTATGAAGGTTTCAGGAAGTAGTTGATCCAAACTGTTTTTTCCAGGTTATACCCTTATACAGACATGACCATCTGATACATGCCATGGTTACCACATTTGTTATAATTTTTTCAGTACGGATAGATGGCAGTAAGCAATTAGAAACAAATAGAAAGCAGCAGTCTACTTCTGGGACACGTTGTATAATATTCTGTTGGGTAATGCATGAATGAGGAGATCTAACTAAATATTTCAGGCACTTTGTTGTTGATGCTCTTCCACTCGTCCATTTAAACCGTGATCACCCATTTAAGGTTTCTGACTTTTTTCAGTTTTGTGCTTAGCGACATTTAGTGGATAAGCCCCGGGACTTGCAAGTAAAGTTTTGTTCAATGTATAGAGGGCATTGGCTGTACATCCTCAATTTCCTGTCTCTATCAATAGCAAGGCTTTACCATGTATGGCAATGCCCATCTGTTAGTATTCTTTCTCCCCTCTTCATTTCCTCTAAGCTACACATATGTCTTAGTACACTACAGGATGACTCGATAAGGGGCATGTACAGCACTGTGGAATTTGTTGGCTCTATATTAGTAATAATAAAAATAATAATCATGTTTTGTGCGCATTCCATATATTGACCTGTGAAACATAATGCATTTGACAGTCTCTTTGAACCTACAACATGTGCGTGTCTCATTCATTCCGGCTCCCTAGCGCTGCGGAGAGGTTACAGAACAAACCAGAGATTGATAAATTAATATAAGTGCATGGTAATTAAGTGACTTTCTACTTGAAAGTTCTTATTCAGGCTAAACCCATAGTGTGTATTCACCGTGCTGTTACTCCTGACACTATTTTGCTTTAACATTTAACATTTCAGACCTTAGGTCGATCTGTAAAGAATTGAACCCCACGTTCCCTGACACTCTGGTTGTAAAATGTATACCATTTCTGAAGTTTCCTCTGTATTTTGTTGCTTGCCTGTGTCCTGAAACTCTGTCTGTATTTCAATCTTCAACCCTCCCCTAATTATTTTTAGGTATCCTATTTCTTTATGAATAAAACTTGGAAGTTAAAATAAAAATATATAATGCTGATATGTAAGAAAATTGACAAGACCTACTTAAAGTCCTTTTCAGGTAAGAGTTATATTATAGGTGGTTAACAAATAATATTCAGTATAAAACACAGTAAATGACAAACCTTTTTCATTTGCTCCACTGATGTAGTTGTAGAGGCGATCACTTTGATTTATTACGTCACCTGACAAGTCTACAATGGTTGAGGCCCAGTTTGTTGGCTCATACTCTCGTACCTCGAATTTCTGAAAACCAGACAGGGTTATACAGGTAATTATTACTATAGTAAGATCAGTGACCACCATCATAGACAATCCTAACTAATGTGATTCTTTCAGTCAGTATATCCTGCTCACTTTCTTCATTATATGAGAAGAGATATTATCAGCTTTCCACATTAGTAAGCAGCACATTAAAATTCATCAACCAACATAGATCATAGTTACTACAGTAAAGTATATTTACAATAACTATAAAGATACAATATTGCTGTTAACAACTCTTGTATTTGTATTTAACAATGTCCATATTTTGTGTAACCGGCTCTGATTGAGTCTGAATTTCATTTGCATATCAGACCAGACTAAAACAATTACTACTCAGTCCCATCCCATGTGGATGGGGTCAGTAAATTATCTGAAGGGGACCTGTCACTGTTCCCCCCTCATTCCCACACCAATGAGCAATAAGGGCTCTAAAGTAATACATGGTAAGACATATCTTTGTCTGTATTGGGGGCAACTAATATGCAATGGGGGCACATGTCAGTTGGCTGCTGGTGGAGCCTTTTAAAAAAATCTAGGGAGGTGGACATGCATGCCTCTGTAAACACCCTAAAAAAGCAGTGAGCGAGCATTATAATGTACTCCTGTCATTATTTAACCCCTTCAGCTCAGCTGGAGGGGGCTCTGAGGGTGGGGGGACCTAATGATCCTATAGTGTCAGGAAACAAGTTTGTTTTCCTGGCACTATAGTGCTCCTTTAATTAACTTGCTTAAATCACTAGCTTAAAGGGCTACAACCATTTTGAGAGGGAGGTAGAGAGGGAGATTGGGAAGAGCTCAATATGTCTATTGCTAGTGTGCAGTGTGAGCTGACGATGTGCATATTTTATGAACAGAATTTATATTATTCTGACCAGAGTTCCGGGTGGCCAAAGTCATGTGTGCCAAGTGTGTAACAAGCCCGTGGCACACAAGTGCAGATTTTTCTGTATGTGCAGTGTTTGAAGCAGAAGCATTGCACATACAGATTCCTACCACCATGACCACTTCAAATCACTGAGGTAGTTGGAGTAACCCTTTTAGAAAGAAGCAGGCTGTTCCTGCCTGTAGCATGGCAGGTGAGGGGATAAAAGAGGTATTACACTTCCCTATAGTAAGAAGAGTGTCATATTACCCCAATATGCATTTTTCTTTTCTATAAAGTGCTAGCCAGCTGCTACATAACTGTCAAGGGATTTTAATGATTTGCCCCCTGACTGCTATCTCTACCAGCAGTCAAATAGCACTTATTATTAAATTTGTTGAGTAATAGCTTCAAGGATAAATTTGATGAATTATTTTTTTCTAGTTTGAAGCAACATTGGAAGTGTTTTAAATTGTGTTTGCAAAAACAGATATGAGAAATGCTGAACTTGATGGACACGTGTCTCTTTTCTGCCTACTTAGCTATGTAACTATGAAACAATAGTTCCCTATCCATGGTACGTCTACCTGCTGGTGGCCTGTAAAAACATTTCTATAATGGCAGAAATTACTTCCACAGGGCCAGGGCCCAACTGGCCCACCGGGATACTGGGGAATTTCCTGGTGGGCCGCAGCATCTGGGGCTGGCAGGAAGCCCTGATGTGTAATTTAAATAATTTTCCCTTAAACTGTTAGTCCTAGGGAAATAAGGGAGAGAAGGGATGGGGCTGGAGGGAGGTGCTGGTGCAGCCCATTTAGGCTTCCAGGGGCTGGAGGGAGTTCAGAGTTTCCCTCCTGAATCTTCAGCAATTGGTGCCTCTATATTGAGTCCCTGGACTCAAGCCCCATCTCATGGATTCAAGTCCCGCCTCATAAATTCAAGTCACGTCTCCGTGGTCAAGCTCTGTCCCCACACACGCTGCTGGCCTGGAAGGAAGAGGTCAGAAAATTGAGACATCACCTCCTTGTCTCGCCCAGCCTTCTGTGACAGGTAGGCTTCAGCCCATGACAGTGAGTGTGTGTGTGTGTGTGTGTGTGTGTCTGCTAGTGAGTGAGCTTGTGAGCATGTGTGTGTGTGTGTGTCAGAGAGCTTGTCTGCAGTGAGCATGTGTATCAATGAGATTGTCTGTCTGTGAGCCAGTGTATCAATCAGCTGTATCAATGAGTCAGTCAGTCAGATTGTCTGTGTCTGCATGTGAGTATGCTTACTGTATAATTAAACTTTTTAACATAAACGACCCAATATTTTGAATTATAATATATAATATATATACATACACACTTTTCAATCAATACCAGCATTCTGGGTCGTCCAATACAAAAGAAAAAAGAGACCAACACTATAGGGCCATTCATCAGGACAATAAGAAGATAGTAAATACTTTATATATATATATGTATGTATTTTTTTTCCAGGACTGCTTTGTATCCCCTGTCCAGCCAGGGCTGATCCTGGGCTGTTGCACACTGTCCCCATTATTGGCATGCCTTGAGTTTAATTGTCATCTGAGCGCTGTCACTCTTGGCTTGCTGCTTGTGCTTTATAGCACTTGCCTCCTTATTGGTGTGTAGAGCAGTTAAAGGCAGAGACTATGGGCATTGCATAGGAGGCTGGGATAGAGGAGGTCGCGCCCAAGTGCAACGTGATACACACTGAATTACCCTAGCTTTGAATGTTGAGGGATCACAGAAAGAGATCTCCTTTTGTTGCATGGAGAGAAATATTATTTGAGTGAAGTTTCCTGCGCCCGCATATAACTCCCCCTCCCCACAGCCACCTTCCCATTCACTGCCCCCTAAACACACTGTCACCCACCCACACAATGCCGTTCACTCTGCCACCCTCCCACGCAATGCTGTTCACTCTGCCACCCTCCTACGCAATGCCCCACACTGTTACTCTCCCCACACTGGCCCCTGCACTATCACCTTCCAACACACTGGTCCACACATTGTCACCTTCTGTACACACTGTCATCCTCCCCACACATGCTGTCACCCCCACACAATGCCCTACACACTGTCACCCTCCGACACACTGCCCCTACACAGAAGGAAACCACATTGCTTTAGTAATAAACACATGATTTTTCCTTTACTTTTTCTAGAACAATGGTTTTCCAGTGTCTCAAGCAGAGCTGAAATAGTTTGAATCCAGTCATAAATAGCAGAATTTAATAATTGTCAGAATTGGGATTCCCATCTGCTAATTAAAGCTAGAAAGTAAATTTGGCTAGAAACAGGCATATCAGTCTAGTAAGGTTTCAAGCAAAATGACATATACTATCCTGATAAAGGTAAAAACAAAAATACTCCTATAATACCCACAGGTTAAACCAAACAGAAAACCCATGTGTTAAAATGATGAGAACCCACTTACTTCATGTTTCTCCACCACTCGATATCTGGGGCACTTATGCCCTTTACAGAAAGCCGGAGTCTTGTACCCATCAGAACCATCTATAGCTGTCACCTCGCTGCCCCACACACAGAGGAAGGTCAGCACCAGGATTCGTTCTGTGCACATAACCTCTGTGGGATACCCAGAGCTTAGTGCCAGGAATGGGCATGTATTGTTCTTTTATACTGTATGAGGAGTGTTAGGTAAAGTACCCAGTGCATTGCTTGGCACAGTCTCTCAACTATGAAACACATAACAGAAATGTCTTATGGCATAACAAATCATTACATAACAGAATATTTCTTTCTTATGGCATAATGGAATCTCTTAATAAGTATCTGTTTTTCCAGCTGCAGAATAATTGCAGGGTAGTATGTGCTCTCTGATTAGTTAAATAAACATTGGGTACAATATGAACCTAGACAATCTGTGCTATATATTGTGATAACCAAATGGCTCACAAATACACATATCAATAATCTGATCTGACATTTTAATGTAGTGTGTGCATGGAATATTAATTAACCTGATCACTATAAAGAAATATTTAGTTTTGAACATTTATTTGAAACATGTATTGAAAAAAAAAAAAAAGGATGGAAGCGCTCCAGAATGCTGTGCAACAAGTGCTACCATGTTTATTGAAGAACAAAGATGTGAAGAAAATAAACTGAGTTCTGTATTTTCTTCTATGTTTGGGCTTTTCTGCAGTATTTTGTTCATTTTGGATCTATTAGTTTGGTAGTTTAAAACTACCGAACACCGACCACCTTCCTGGCTCATTAACTTCAAGAGAACCATCTATTAAACACTCTCTGGCGGCCGCTGTTCGTATAGCCGAATGCCACGTGGAACAGAAAACCGCGGCCATCGTGTTTGCACGAAAGGAGGCAGCGGGACTTGGTCATCGAGTGTCTGGAACTAAGATCGGACACTCGACCTCCCGAGCCACCGCTGAAACTACTGAACGCCTGCTTCCTTTAGTTCCAGAACAGCCAGGAGAGCGCCATTCAGTAGTTTGGTTCATATGAACAAGGGGAGCAATCGCTCCTATGAGCCAGGAGGATCCATTCGGGACTTTTATTCATTTTATGTCATTTACTGAATTGACGGACCGCACACGCTGAATTTGTGGAACTGTTTTGGGCAGGAGCCTCGTGTGTGGTCGGTAACTTATGACTTCCATACTTTTTGAGAACCCCTGACCCGATCTGAAATTTGGATATGTTGGTCCCCCAGATCGGGGCTATCAGGGGCTATGTAATTTGTTATTTAAAAGTACAGCTTGTTACTAATTTTGTTTTTAATATTATAAGTATATACTGTTGGTGTTAGGGACTTAAGTGTTGGCACCCCATTAAAGGTTAATGTAGTGTTCATCCTTAGATTCAGTTATTACACCCTTTATGATAAAATTGTTACAATCTAAGATAAATAATATCCATTTCAAATAATGGGATAAATTGCCATAAGCAATGGGTGCAGTACAATAGCATTTCCATAAAGGAGATATTTTGAACTAGTGACATGAATTATGCCTGACTTCCATGATGTGATTATGATTACTTTCTCTAATTCAATTATCCTCTCCCATAGTTTCCTATCATGAAATATTAAAATATATATATATATATATATATACATACGGATTCAGGGACGCCATCAGAAATTGTGGCCCCTAACACAGCTCAAGGTCTGGGCCCCTGGGTGCCCGCCTCCAAATCCCGCCCACAGGAATACACAGACACACACACAGAGAGATACCCAGAAAGATACACACATACTAACAGACACAAATACTGAAACAGACATACACACATATAGACACATACACAAATACACACACATACTGACATACACACACACATATATGCAGACATACATAACCCGATGTCACTTCCTCCCAGCAGCATTTGCGGTGCAGCCGCAATTTTCTTTTTAAAAGGGGCCTGGTTGCGCAATTACCCGGCCGCAGCGCTCACCGGGCCCCTGACGATATAGGGCCCATCAGGTGGCCCTAAATGCTTGGGCCACCTGATGGGCCCCGGTGCAGATGCACCAGCGGCAGTTTCGCCGCTCCACAAGGGGGCCCAGGTGGTCGGGCCCCCCAGGGCCGCCGGGCCCGTGACAACCATTATGGCACCCTGAAGCTGTATTTATCTAGCTTCCTGCCATAGATCCGTGGGATCAAATTAGTCACTACACATACATTGTATGTGCTGGGAATGCAGTGTGTCTGAGTGTGTGCTGGGGATGCAATATGTATGTGTGTGTACTGGGGATGCAGTGTGTCTGTCTGTATATATGTGTGTATGTATGTGTGTCTTGTCTTTGTATGTATGTGTTGTGTGTGTGTGTATGTGTCTTTGTATGTATGTGTGTCTTGTGTCTTTCAGTATGTGTGTGCAGGGGAGGGCTGGCAGCCTTAGGCCTGGGGGGCAAAACCAGTCAAGTGGCCCATTGCACCACCAAATCAGTTCACCATCCATGCCCACCTGGTTTTATAACGGATATTGATGTTATGCTAATCAGTAGCTCTTTGCCATACCCGCTCCTTCACGGCTCTGACTTTCAATGTTGTCAGAGCGCAGGCTGAGAATCTCTGAGCCTGTGCTCTGACTCACTAACTGAACACCAGAACCATGAGGGAGAGGATATAATCTGACTGCACCTACTGCTGGTGCGCACCAGTGGACCACCAGCGAATCATTTAAATTGAATATGCTGGGGTCCCCAACTTGTGAGCTGTGTTGGCCGCCGGGCGCCTCTCTTGTCATGGCACCCTGCGTGACCGCACAGCTTGCACACCCCAACGGCTGGCCCTGCTGACACATACTGATGTTACTACTTAGAAATCCCTCAATATTAATACAGACAGCAGAGTAAACACCAATAAACTGTGCAAACAGAGCTGATCCCCCCAAAGATTTGCTGTAAGATTAAATCATGCCTCCTCCTCTCCCTCTCCCTCTCCCATGCGCTGCGCTGTAGGCTGGGAGGAAATGAAGAGTAATCATATTCTCCCAGCACAGCGCCACCTGTGGATGCATGGGGAACAGCTGTTTAATGTAATGCTTGCAGGACGGCCACCTGCCGCAGAACCTCTTAGTTCCCATCGCTGCAAAGGGCTCCAGGCACTGCTTGCTGTGAGTGTGAGCCACTGTAAATTAGGGGCAGAGGGCACTTGCACTGCAGTAAAGACAGGTCTGGGCAGGAGGAGAGTGCAGTGCAATCCCCTCCTGTGGGTCACCAGTAGACTGGTGCACCTGCCCAGGATCAGAGCCGGTGCAAGGATTTTTGCTGCCCTAGGCAAAGGGAAAATTAGCTGCCCCCCCATGTGACATCACAATGCCCCACCTATATAATCTGCTATATGAATTAATGCCAAAGCTGCACACAGTGTGTGTTTACATTAAAAAGCCTGCAGGGACCGGCTATAGACACCAGAACCACTTCATTAAGCTATAGTGTCCCTTTAATGTGAGGTAAATTATAGATTAGTGTCACTAATAATATACTAGATTGCCTACTTACAACCAGATGAGGATGATGATGGGCTGCAGTTTGGCTCCACTGGTCTGGTGTAGAACAGGATCTCTGAAGGCTGTTTATAACTGTGGTCACAAAATTCAAAGTTCTAGTAGAATGGGAAACATCTCCATTTTTTTGGGGCCCCTTAAACAGCTCAAGGTCTGGGTCCCAGGGCCTGACGGTGAGTATGCCCATAAGGCCCACCTAAAAGTCCACCTACATGTTCCACCCATGAGTTCAATCACAGGGAGTGGAGTGTGTAGGGGATGTGTTATGTGTTATTGTAGAGGATCTAATGTGTGTGCTTATGGTAGGTAGTGTATAGGGATACCAGTTTGTGTAGGTGATGCCGTGTATTTGTAGTGGAGGCAGTGTGTATTTGTGTATAAGCGATGTATTGTGTGAATCTGTGTTTGTATGCATAAGGGATGCAAGGTGTGTGTCTGTAGTGTGTGCATTGAGTGAGTGTATGAAATGCATTGTGTTTCTGTGTATATGTAAGAGAAGCAGTGTGTGTGGTTGCATGTGTGTGTAAGGGTTTGCATTGTGTGTTTCTGTGTATGTGTGCAAAGGATGCATTGCCTTTGTGTGTAATGGATGCATTGTGTGTTTCTCTGTGTGTAAGGGAAGCATGTTGTGTTTCTGTGTGTGTAGGGATGCATTGTGTGTTTGTGTATGTATAGGGATGCATTGTGTGTGTGTGTGTGTGTGTGCGCGTAGTGTGAAAGAGCTCCCTGTCCTGCCCCCTGTCCTATAGAGCTCTCCCCTGCCCCTTAGTGGTCTCTCTCCCCCCTTCCCTAGCAGTCACTTCTCACACCCACCCACCCTCCCTGTGCTCTTCTCATCCCCCCCCTCCAAACCTCTGGTATTCTTTTCAGCCCCTTCCTCCTGTGTTCTTCTCACCCCATGTGTTCTCCTCCACCTCCCCCCCCATGTGTTCTACTCACTCCCTCCACCCTTCCTATGTTCTTCTCACTCCCCCACCCTCCTGTGTTTCTTCTCCACCTCCCCTCCTGTGTTCCTCATCTCCCCCTCGTTCTCCTCATCTCCCCTTCTCTCCCCCTCCTCCTGTGTCCTTCTTGCTCTTCTCCCTCCTCTCTGTGTTCTTCACCTCCCCCTATTCTTCTTTCCTTCGTTCTTCTTAATTCCCCAATCCCCCTGTTCAATTCCCCCAATCCTCTGTTCTTCTTAATCTCACCCCTGATTTCTTCATCCCCTTCTTCTTAATTCCCCTCCCTTCTTCTTAATTCCCCCCCCTCCCTTCTTCTTAATCTCCCCCACCTGTTCTTCTTAATCCCCCACCCCAGTTCTTCTTAATCCCACCCCCTGATACCAGTTTGTGTAGGTGATGCCGTGTATTTGTAGTGGAGGCAGTGTGTATTTGTGTATAAGCGATGTATTGTGTGAATCTGTGTTTGTATGCATAAGGGATGCAAGGTGTGTGTCTGTAGTGTGTGCATTGAGTGAGTGTATGAAATGCATTGTGTTTCTGTGTATATGTAAGAGAAGCAGTGTGTGTGGTTGCATGTGTGTGTAAGGGTTTGCATTGTGTGTTTCTGTGTATGTGTGCAAAGGATGCATTGCCTTTGTGTGTAATGGATGCATTGTGTGTTTCTCTGTGTGTAAGGGAAGCATGTTGTGTTTCTGTGTGTGTAGGGATGCATTGTGTGTTTGTGTATGTATA